GGGGGGATCCCCGCAAGCACAACTAGGTGAGTACATCAGGCAGCAAGCAGCCTGATGTACTCCAGGCGTGTCCATCATCCTGGTTGACCAGACGACAAACCAAGAGGCCTGGTCAGAGACCGGGCCGCGGTAACGTTGATCCCTGGAACCACCACACTGTAGACTATCCTGGGACCTCTGTTGTTTACAAAATATATATATACGGTTTAGATTCAGGACTGAGCAGTAGTATTTGTAAATTTGCCGACGATACGAAAATCGGAAACAAAAACCATTTGACGATGTGGACGGGTTCCGAGGCAAAGCAACTATGATGGTTACAGGACATCAGCTGGATGGTATTGAAATTGTCATGTCTGATTGTGACAAATTATCGAAATTGATCGAAATAGGACACTGATTTATGTCTAAAAGCATCAGCAATACAATGCCTGGTATTATTCTTCAGCTATATCTTACTCTTGCTAGGCCCCATCTAGATTATGCAGCTCAGTTTTGGTCGCCGTACCGCCGGACATAATTCACTAGAACGCGTCCAGTGGAGGATGACAGTTAATCCCACAAATTAGAAATCTTACATACGAAGAGACTTAAAACCTTAATTACCATTCTCTAGAAAGGGATGTTTGTCAGGCGCGACCTGATTAGTGTACAAGTGGATGAATGGGCATAACAAGGACTCGTTAATAAGCATTGAATATATCAACACAAGTACACCACGAAACAATGAAAATAAATTGGATAAATTTAGATTTTCGGAAAGACGTATCTTAATACTAGTTGATTGATTGATGAAGATGAAGCTACCCAAGAAGGGGCACGAGCATGAATAGCCCGTAATAATATTACTTGTTGGGAAACAGGGTTGTTATTTGTGGACCAGATTATGTTACCATCATAGACGTGGGAGTGATGGAGTGTTACAGGCATGAGCTACACATTCACATGAATGACTTTGGTTGGATAGACATAGGAGTTACCTTGTATGGGTCAATAGATCTTCGCCAGTTTCCTTAATATTCTCAGTCAACTGTTCATCTGCCGGGTTAGTTCAGCAAAAGTCTACTTGTTGCTACCTACCTATCTTGCGGGTAGGTAGCCACGTGTCTGGTTATGGCAAAGTCCTCCGGTGCTGCTTGGTCTAACACTACCATAGCTTAGGAACAACCCCTTTATTTTACAAACGACAATGTGTGTTAAGTGCTTCGTATACCTCTCAATCATTTTCTGTAAACGTGTCCTTAGTTTCATTGCCTGTTGTTCCTTTTACATTCTGATGAAGGTTGATTCTTTGCTTTATGTATAATATAGTTTTAAAATCTCTGCTTCTCTTCTCACGCTGAAATACTCATTCACAGGAGGGATTACTGTACTAGAACAATGGGCCTCACATAGGATGTTAATGGCGCTGGGAAGGGTCCCCTGAGCAAGTCCCTAAAGGCTATCTCGGCGTTTGCCTGTTTGGCACATAATGCCTCCGGCGAGAGCCTCCGGCGAGAGCCTCCGGCGAGAGCCTCCGGTGAGAGCCTCCGGCGTTAATTTTGGAGTCAAGTTTACTTCTTCCAGTCTCTCTTCCAGAAGTGGGCATTCCTTTCATTCACTTCGTACTGGAGCTACCTGGAAAGGGTTTCGGGAAGTCTTGTACACTGAGCCTGGCCCCTTCGCCAAGCTCTATTTATTTGATCTTATTGTACTTATATATCTATAAACAAGAAGGTATATTGGGTTTGTGAGAGCACATAACATTGGTGTTCTTACAATCTTGCAAAGCCACTAACACACGTACCATTTAGGGCACTTGGGCTCACTTGGCCCAACAGGCTGTTGCTACGAGCGGCCCCGAAAGCCCACATATCCACTATAGCCTGATTGGTCCGACACTTACAAAAACTTATATAAATGCTTCTTGAATACATCCACTTTTGTTCCAGCAATATTTATAATGCTTGCTGTGAGTGTTGAACAGCCGAGGACCTCTGCCTATGGCATCTCAACTCTTCACTAGTTCTATTCTGTATTTCCTTTCGTATCTTTCGATCCAGTATGCTATTCTACTGAGCAAAATTGGGACCTGGCCTTAAGGTATCTTCCATGTGTATATTATTTGATACCTTTCTCTCGTCTCCTTTACAGAGAACAGAGAATACATCTTGAGAGCTTTGAGACGGTCCAAATAATTACAGTGTTATTTATCGCGTCTGTGTGTGCCGTATATGTTCTCTGTATTCCCTCTATTTCAGCAATCTCTCCTGCTCTGAGAGGGGAAAACAAGTACCAAGAAATACTCCAAGACGGGACAGCACCAGTGATTTAAATAGTATTAGCATTACTGTGGGGTCTCTGGACTATAATGTTCTCATAATCCATCCTATAATTTTCCTGGCCGCTGCTATATTTGCTCGGTTATGTTCACTACTGTACTTGTCCCTCTCGCACTCTTATTTTCACAACCACGTATTTGTCTGGTTGGAGTCAAGCAGCCATTCCTGAAATCATCTCTGGAACTTGGCGATTCATCTTGCCGGGTTACTTCAACCCTTGTCATTTACGAACATTCTCATTAGTTTAGCATGGTCTGAAAGTTCAGATAAGAACCTGCTCACTTCATCCATTACGTCTTTTACGTATATTACAGTGTTGACCCCTTGAGGTACTCCACTCCAGTCTGATGTGATGTGATGTGATGTGATCTGATCTGATCTGATCAACGTATTGTGACTGCCTCCCTTCTCAATGGTGTTCTTCCACCCAACTTAACACTTCCGAATACACCAGCCTGCTACTATAGTTTGCACAGGAGCCGGTCGGCCGAGCGGACAGCACGCTGTACTTGTGGTCCTGGGTTCGATCCTGGGCGCCGGCGAGAAACAATGGGCAGTTTCTTTCATCCTATGCCCCTGTTACCTAGCAGTAAAATAGGTACCTGGGTGTTAGTCAGCTGTCACGGGCCGCTTCCTGGGGGTGGAGGCTTGGTCGAGGACCGGGCCGCGGGGACACTAAAAGCCCCGAAATCATCTCAAGATAACCTCAAGGAGATGCTTATATAAAAGTACATCAAATGCTACGCATTGGGCCGATGCTGCAAATGGCCAAGCTTTCGTTGCCACTTGTGTCTGGCTGACGAGGTCCCAGAACTTATAAATCCCATGTTTTTGTTTCTCTTCTATGCCCTCTGAAACAAGGGTAAAGTTATTAAGGTCATCGCTGTTTGGAAGTAACCGACGCGCCTCTGCCAAGGCTACCATTAGAATAGTCTGGCAGGAAGTGGCCAACACGTTGAATTCATAAATGTTTGGTTTCGGGATGTTAAAGGGTGTGAAGCAGCTAGCCACTGAACACCAACACACGCTGCCAACATCACACACAAGGCTCTAGTCAAACAAAATTAATAAATAATTCAGCCTGGTCGAGAGACGCAATTTTCTCTGCAGTTCATCGTCATTTTCCTTCTCGGCTCATTTACACAGTATTACTCTAATATTCATTCAAAGTTACTTTTCGACAAGCATGACCTGGATTGTATATGGATGAGGCTCTGGGAGTAGTTCTACTCCCCAAGCCCGGCCAGAGGCCAGGCCTGACTCTGCTTGGTCCAACGGGGGGTTGCTAGGTGCGGCCCGCAGGCCCGAATATCCACTACAGCCCGGCTGGTCTGGCACTTTCAGCAGAAAAAGTGTTCATGTTTTTTTTTTTAATGGTTTCATTTGAAGTGTCGAGCATGGTGTTAACCTTGCCCCCGCCCCACTCACAGTTCAGGTTTGGTCATTAAAAATGCACAAAAGGTTTGTCCAGGTGGTGGTCAGTATTTGGTGCTCGAAGCTAACCGAGGAAGCAACTAATAGAACACCTAACCGCCCGCCAATTTAACGAACTGCTCTGAATTATAGTGCATCATATTTTGACGTCAGAATACGATGTATTACTGGAGAGAACACGGTGGGAATAAGCCACTCTTGCTGCCAGACTGTCTGGCGCCGGTATGCGCGCTCTCGCACACTCAGAAGTCACAGCCAGTAAGCAAGTGCAACTTATTAGAAAGGAAAATAAAACGAGGTCAACTCCATCCAAAATTGCAATGGCAGATATAAACAGAAATAAAGGTCAGGAATCATTCGACTATATCACCAGATCAACTCGTTAAATCTTTCTTCCCAATTTATGTCGCTTAACTCTGCCCAATTTGGTGGTACACCACTAACAATTGTTTCAAACGTGGGTTGGACATGCATATGAGTGGGGTTGGGTAGTTATATATAGGAGCCGCCTCGTATGGGCCAATAGGCCCTCTGCAGTTACCTTGTTCTGATGTTCTCATGTTTAACCTTGTTAAGCTTTCATGTGCTCTAAACAGGCGGTGTTAATACACTCGCCCCCCACAATTTGCAGTCACTGGAGAAAACCGATTTTGGAAGATATGATCAAGATGTGTACGATACGGGAGCCGGTCGGCCGAGCGGACAGCACGCTGGATTTGTGATCCTGTGGTCCCGGGTTCGATCCCGGACGCCGGCGAGAAACAATGGGCAGAGTTTCTTTCACCCTATGCCCCTGTTACCTAGCAGTAAAATAGGTACCTGGGTGTTAGTCAGCTGTCACGGGCTGCTTCCTGGGGTTGGAGGCCTGGTCGAGGACCGGGCCGCGGGGACACTAAAGCCTGGAAATCAAGATAACCTCAAGATGATGCTCAGCGGTATCTTGATGGTGGACAGGGACAACCCATACCCCACTGAGAACCAGGACTAAAAGGCATTCAAGCAAGTATAACACCCAAACACGTTCTAAGGTGCGCCATGAAAAATGTTTTAGCACAAGGGATAGAGAAGACTAGCAGCAAAGTATGGAAGGTAGGACAAAAATACAGAGTTACCTGCCACTTAAGAGTACTGACGTCCACGGAGCATTAATGTTAAGTTTACTGGGAAACAAGTGGCACGAGTCAAGTGAGAAGTTTGTGTCATATAAGATGGTAGAAAAGTGAGCAACAGAGCATGTTTACTGACCTGTAAACCTGGCTAAGGTAGCGACTAGGAGGACGAGTATGGTGAGTACTGAGGGGTGTGGGGGCGGCCCACTCCTCCATTTGGGCCAGAGTGTGGGCGCCCCGCTCCTGCCCCTGCTGCTGGCAGTGGTGGTAGTGGTGGTGGTAGTGCTGGTGGTGGTAGTGGTGGTGATGGTGATGGAGGGCGGCGTCGGCGTCGGACAACAGTGATGATGGGTGGTGGTGGTTGTGGTGGTGGTTGTGGTAGTGGTGGTGGTAGTGGTGGTGGTGGTTGTGGTAGGGTCGGGAGACAGGCCCGCCGCACTGCTCCCACAGTCCTGGACCAAACCTGGCAAGTCCATAGTCTTACAGTTGTGGTGGTGGTGAGAGTGAGCACCACTCTGGCACCTGCCCCCCCGCCGCCGCCGCCACCACCACCTCCTCCAGCCAGGCCCTCGCCACCGACACGTCACCTGCTGCTGCTCCTCCGTCAGGTACGGACTCGTGCACGGCCCAGCACAACCCTCACAGTGCACCTCCGGCGCAGGCTTCGCTCTCCCGCCCTCGGCTCCCGCCACGCTGCATCCTCGCCAACACCCTGCAAATGATCCAAAACATTACCTGTGAGACGGACAACATGCAATGATATAGGTAAGCTGTGAGGCACCCTACCCTACCCTACGAGGGGGGGGTAGTGAAGCACCCTACCCTACGAGGGGGGGGGGTAGTGAAGCACCCTACCCTACGAGGGGGGGGGTAGTGAAGCACCCTACCCTACGAGGTGGTGGGGTAGTGAGGCACCCTACCCTACGAGGTGGTGGTAGTGAAGCACCCTACCCTACGAGGGGGCGGTAGTGAAGCACCCTACCCTACGAGGAGGGGGGTAGTGAGGCACCCTACCCTACGAGGGGGTGGTAGTGAAGCACCCTACCCTACGAGGGGTGGTAGTGAAGCACCCTACCCTACGAGGAGGGGGGGTAGTGAGGCCCCCTACCCTACGAGGGGGGGGGTAGTGAGGCCCCCTACCCTACGCGGGGGGGGGGTAGTGAGGCCCCCTACCCTACGCGGGGGGGGGGGGGGGGTAGTGAGGCACCCTACCCTACGAGGGGGGGGTAGTGAGGCACCCTACCCTACGAGGGGGGGGTAGTGAGGCACCCTACCCTACGAGGGGGGGGGGTAGTGAGGCACCCTACCCTACGAGGGGGGGGGGGGGTAGTGAGGCACCCTACCCTACGAGGGGGGGGTAGTGAAGCACCCTACCCTACGAGGGGGGGGGTAGTGAGGCACCCTACCCTACGAGGGGGGGGTAGTGAGGCACCCTACCCTACGAGGGGGGGGGTAGTGAGGCACCCTACCCTACGAGGGGGGGGGTAGTGAGGCACCCTACCCTACGAGGGGGGGGTAGTGAGGCACCCTACCCTACGAGGGGGGGGGGTAGTGAAGCACCCTACCCTACGAGGGGGGGGGTAGTGAAGCACCCTACCCTACGAGGGGGGGGGGGTAGTGAAGCACCCTACCCTACGAGGGGGGGGGTAGTGAAGCACCCTACCCTACGAGGGGGGGGGGTAGTGAGGCACCCTACCCTACGAGGGGGGGGGGTAGTGAGGCACCCTACCCTACGAGGGGGTGGGGGTAGTGAGGCACCCTACCCTACGAGGGGGGGGTAGTGAGGCACCCTACCCTACGAGGGGGGGGGGTAGTGAGGCACCCTACCCTACGAGGGGGGGGGGTAGTGAAGCACCCTACCCTACGAGGGGGGGTAGTGAAGCACCCTACCCTACGAGGGGGGGGGTAGTGAAGCACCCTACCCTACGAGGGGGGGGGGTAGTGAAGCACCCTACCCTACGAGGGGGCGGTAGTGAAGCACCCTACCCTACGAGGAGGGGGGGGTAGTGAGGCACCCTACCCTACGAGGTGGTGGGGTAGTGAGGCACCCTACCCTACGAGGTGGTGGTAGTGAAGCACCCTACCCTACGAGGGGGCGGTAGTGAAGCACCCTACCCTACGAGGAGGGGGGTAGTGAGGCACCCTACCCTACGAGGGGGTGGTAGTGAAGCACCCTACCCTACGAGGGGTGGTAGTGAAGCACCCTACCCTACGAGGAGGGGGGGTAGTGAGGCACCCTACCCTACGAGGGGGTGGTAGTGAAGCACCCTACCCTACGAGGGGGTGGTAGTGAAGCACCCTACCCTACGAGGGGTGGTAGTGAAGCACCCTACCCTACGAGGGGTGGTAGTGAAGCACCCTACCCTACGAGGGGGCGGTAGTGAAGCACCCTACCCTACGAGGGGGCGGTATTGAAGCACCCTACCCTACGAGGAGGGGGGGGTAGTGAGGCACCCTACCCTACGAGGGGGCGGTAGTGAAGCACCCTACCCTACGAGGAGGGGGGTAGTGAAGCACCCTACCCTACGAGGGGGGGTAGTGAGGCACCCTACCCTACGAGGGGGCGGTAGTGAAGCACCCTACCCTACGATGGGGGGGTAGTGAGGCACCCTACCCTACGAGGGGGTGGTAGTGAAGCACCCTACCCTACGAGGGGGGGCGGTAGTGAAGCACCCTACCATACGATGGGGGGGGTAGTGAGGCACCCTACCCTACGAGGGGGTGGTAGTGAAGCACCCTACCCTACGAGGGGGGGTAGTGAAGCACCCTACCCTACGATGGGGGGTAGTGAAGCACCCTACCCTACGAGGGGTGGTAGTGAAGCACCCTACCCTACGAGGGGTGGTAGTGAAGCACCCTACCCTACGATGGGGGGTAGTGAAGCACCCTACCCTACGAGGGGTGGTAGTGAAGCACCCTACCCTACGATGGGGGGTAGTGAAGCACCCTACCCTACGAGAGGGGTGGTAGTGAAGCACCCTACCCTACGAGGGGTGGTAGTGAGGCACCCTACCCTACGAGGGGGGGTAGTGAAGCACCCTACCCTACGAGGGGGGTAGTGAAGCACCCTACCCTACGAGGGGTGGTAGTGAAGCACCCTACCCTACGAGAGGGGTGGTAGTGAAGCACCCTACCCTACGAGAGGGGTGGTAGTGAAGCACCCTACCCTACGAGAGGGGTGGTAGTGAAGCACCCTACCCTACGAGGGGGGGGTAGTGAAGCACCCTACCCTACGAGAGGGGTGGTAGTGAAGCACCCTACCCTACGAGAGGGGTGGTAGTGAAGCACCCTACCCTACGAGAGGGGTGGTAGTGAAGCACCCTACCCTACGAGGGGGGGGTAGTGAAGCACCCTACCCTACGAGGGGGGGGGTAGTGAAGCACCCTACCCTACGAGAGGGGTGGTAGTGAAGCACCCTACCCTACGAGGGGTGGTAGTGAAGCACCCTACCCTACGAGGGGGGGGGTAGTGAAGCACCCTACCCTACGAGAGGGGTGGTAGTGAAGCACCCTACCCTACGAGGGGTGGTAGTGAAGCACCCTACCCTACGAGGGGGGGCGGTAGTGAAGCACCCTACCCTACGAGGGGGGGCGGTAGTGAAGCACCCTACCCTACGATGGGGGGGGTAGTGAGGCACCCTACCCTACGAGGGGGTGGTAGTGAAGCACCCTACCCTACGATGGGGGGTAGTGAAGCACCCTACGAGGGGGGGGGGTAGTGAAGCACCCCACCCTACGAGAGGGGTGGTAGTGAAGCACCCTACCCTACGAGGGGGGGTAGTGAAGCACCCTACCCTACGAGAGGGGTGGTAGTGAAGCACCCTACCCTACGAGGGGTGGTAGTGAAGCACCCTACCCTACGAGGGGTGGTAGTGAAGCACCCTACCCTACGAGGGGGCGGTAGTGAAGCACCCTACCCTACGAGAGGGGTGGTAGTGAAGCACCCTACCCTACGAGGGGGGGGTAGTGAAGCACCCTACGAGGGGGGGTAGTGAAGCACCCCACCCTACGAGGGGGGGTAGTGAAGCACCCCACCCTACGAGGGGGGGTAGTGAAGCACCCTACCCTACGAGAGGGGTGGTAGTGAGTCACCCTACGAGGGGTGGTAGTGAAGCACCCTACGAGGGGGGGTAGTGAAGCACCCCACCCTACGAGGGGGGGTAGTGAAGCACCCTACCCTACGAGAGGGGTGGTAGTGAGTCACCCTACGAGGGGTGGTAGTGAAGCACCCTACGAGGGGGGGTAGTGAAGCACCCTACCCTACGAGGGGTGGTAGTGAAGCACCCTACCCTACGAGAGGGGTGGTAGTGAAGCACCCTACCCTACGAGGGGTGGTAGTGAAGCACCCTACCCTACGAGAGGGGTGGTAGTGAAGCACCCTACCCTACGAGAGGGGTGGTAGTGAGTCACCCTACGATAGGTGGTAGTGAAGCACCCTACCCTACGAGGGGTGGTAGTGAAGCACCCTACGAGGGGGGGGGTAGTGAAACACCCTACGAGGGGGGGGGTAGTGAAGCACCCCACCCTACGAGAGGGGTGGTAGTGAGTCACCCTACGATAGGTGGTAGTGAAGCACCCTACCCTACGAGGGGTGGTAGTGAAGCACCCTACGAGGGGGGGGTAGTGAAACACCCTATGAGGGGGGTGGTAGTGAAGCACCCTACGAGGGGGGGTAGTGAAGCACCCCACCCTTCATGGGGTGATGCTTACCTATCAATACTTACCTATCAGCGAGAACAAGGAGGCAAGATCTAGCTCTTTATCCCCCATCAACTTGTGGACTTGTTGAGTTATAATTGATCTATTCCGAGGTTATAATTTGTTGTGGAGTCTGGTAGTGGCGGAGGCGGACTGGGCACCGCTCTCCTGGCTACACCTGCAGAAGGCAAGGCCTGACTGTGGAGGTTACTGCTGCTCCTGACGGCGGCGGCGGGAGTGCACTTGCAACAGCCTTGTGCAACCCTGCCTGGCTGGGGCGCCGCTCCAAAATAGCGGGTACCTGGGCTGGTGCCCGGCTGACGTCACACCCCCGCGCCCTCTCCCACCACCCAGCCAGTAAACAACCACTCCGGCCCTACACTTCGCCCGTCATCATCACACCGCTGCCCACCTACCTAGGCTCCGTGTTTTAGGCTCTAGTCCCTCTCCTGCTCGAGAATCCTAGGCAGCTACCATGGATTTTCAAGGCCTAGCTAACGAGTAGTAGTCTACATATACGACCACGAGACTAGGATGAGTCGCTTCCTCCCACCACACACACTACACCAAAACTCTTCCCCAGTCTCATACTCAACACATACATGTTAACAACTGATGCAGCATTATTTGCACACACTACTACCTTCACGAGTTTCAACTCCAGAGGACCTGGACTGTACCTGTAGGGGGTTCCGAGAGTTGTTCAACTTGCAAGAGCTTTGTCGAACATGCTGTTGCTTGGGATAGCCTGCACGTCCACATTTCCACTACAGCCTGGTTGGTCCCGTACTAACTACAGTAAACTGTTCAGTTTGTATTTTCTTGAACTCCAAACTAATGTAAACTGGGTCTTCCAGTGAGCTACAGAAAATATAATGCCAGATGAAAATTTTAAGATCCTACCCGTGGGAAACAAATTAAAACCGTAAGTGCATCCAAAACGCCATAAAATATCACAAGAAAAACCTATGTACATGTGAGTATTTATGTGAAGACTTTACAGTACCACAACACA